TTTTCGCTCAATTTCAAGTGACAAAACGATTTTTCCTCGGCTACCGCTGATGTTGATGCCATTACAGTTACTGTTGCTTTGACTGGTGATGGCGGTAGCATGGTAGCAATTGTGATAACGATAATTTTTTTCCATTCTTTTGCTCTATCTCTATCTCGCTCCATCGTTGATGGTCCAGCGATTCCTTTAAAGCGCAGAAAAGGACACATAAAATCGAGAATTCTATGTGTGCTTTTTTGTTTTTGTACCTAAAGCTAAAACGTGTATCCTATACTTCATTGTTTGTCGTGCATTATACGGCTATTTATGCTGGTTGGTTGCCTGCTGTTCCGCTTGCCGGCTCTTCGTCGTTTATCTCTAAATTCTTAAATTAATATTTAAGACTGGATGACTGTGGACAGCTCAACTGAAGGATGAGAAGCAAAATGGTTCACGGTTGGCTTTTCCATGGCACAAAATATTTTGGAAAATTGGCTCAGAAAATCCACAACATGTTTGAAGAGAACAAATAGGTTCACTTTTTTTCATTTTTCGGTAAAATTGGAACTATTTTTTCAAGATTACAATAGAAAAAGCTTACCCAATAATCACAAGATGGTTTCAAAACAAGAAGTTTTCCCCCACATTATTCTACAAACCTTTTATGTTCCCAGTATTTTGGGCAAAAATCATTTTCACCCAAAACTATTTACGAACGGACAGGGATAAAAACAAAACAAAAAATGAAATAGACAAAAAAAAACCTTTTCTTCGTGTGTAATGATAAAAAAAATGGCCAAGTGATATTCATTTACGTTCCGTTGAATGTATAGTTTTTATTGGTCCCATCCTCATTCCTGTGCGATTCGCTATGTGGACCTTCACACTATCAGTGGTGCATGGCGTATTGTATGTGTGTCTATGTATATACGAGTGTCTTGCAAATATGAAAATATCTTCTCATTCTGCACCCTTTGCGTCCATAGAAAATGCATCGATTTTTTATTCGTTCGTGCTCAAAAATATTGCTGGAAGCACAAAACTTCACTATGTGCTGTAATGGACTTCATAACAATACCGATTTAAAGACATATACACTCAATTTTCGGGTTGATTGCACGAGTGGTTTTTCAGTCGTTTTTAATGCCTCTTAAAAATGACAGTCCAGTTAAATAAAATAGTTTGCAATCTCAGTAGATATTAATGTGTTCATTCCGTAGCGCCAGTAAAGGAAAGTTTATTAATAAAATGTCGGATTGCCTAAGAAAGAGTGCAATTTAATCCATTCAATATGTACTTGCTGACATCAATTATCTTGTTAGATCATTTAAAAATTCAATATGTTTGTCGAAAGTATAACTATAGCACTTTTCGTTGTTGTTGCGACGCTAAAAAGGTTTTATCTCCTATTTATAAGGTATTTCACATGATTGCAACTCGTCTCTTCCGTACAAATTTTACCACTCAGTTCGCTAATTTTTTTTTGACGACGAAAAATATCGAAGAAATCATTCACGAACTAGATATAAAGGAAGAAAATTAAGCTAAACGTCTTCAAATTTAATATTGATTTTGCCAAAAAAAACGAAGAAGAAAAAAATAAATGTCATTGCAAACTGAAATTGAATGCGAGCTTTAAATCTAGTCGACGAATATCTTATCAAACAGTCGACAAATAGACTCAAGAATTGCTTGAGTTGTCGATTTTTCGTCTTATTTTGCTGTTTTTCCGCTGTTTTTTCTCTCCTGCCATGAAGACGACAAACAAAGTGAGGAAAAACGAATTACTTTATATTAAAATATGGCAGCAGAAATCAAACATGCATGGACGAAATAGACAAATCTTAAATCAGCAAAATATATGGCATTCGTTCGTTTTCTCGTTCACTCACATCGTCGTTCCTTTTCGATGATTTAAGACGATGTCGTATTTGCATTTTATTTGCTGTTTTGCGTTCCATCCTTCCCGTTTTCTCTCCATTTAGTTTTTTCGTTTTTTTTTTCTTCTTCTTGTCTTCAGTTTTAAATGTTTTCGTTGTTTTCATTTGCATGGCATGCGGGCGAAAAAGCGAGTACATCGAAAAAAGAAGCCGGAAATCATATGGAGAAATGAACTGTTAAGCCGCACATTTATAAAGATTCTTGACGAAAAATAGACCGAAAAAAAACCGTTTGCTGGAAGAAAACTGCAAGCAGAAGAAAACAACTACAAAAATGTGCTCACAACGGCACAAAATTCACAGCACAATTATTGGAGAGCTACAGAATGAGGCGTTCATCATGCATGCATGCCGATTGCCGACAGAAAGTTTGCTTTTGTTTACTTTATTCATACGGCTGCTCGGCAACATCAATTCGCATTTGAAACACGCCAAAAACATAACGTGCGGTGAGAATGCAAGAGACGACGAAAAAATGGATTCCATTTCCAATGACTTTGAACGTTGAAGACCGCACTGACGACAAAATACCAGCCAAAAATGTAGAGTAATCGCCGTACATGTTCATTACAATTCACTTGCATCATGTATACATGGATATTCGTCAGGTTGCTTGGTGGAGTTTTCTTGACTCCGTCGATCTTTAACTTGAAATGTGTTTCAACTGCAATTTCTCATTCACCGGGGCGAATCGCAAAAAATCCTGATGACATACAGTCGTCGGTACAGTCTTGTTCATCGCAGACAGGAAAGAGAGAGAGGGAAAAACCGCTACAAATATAAAATAAATATTATTCCAAGTCGTCATTAGCATTATTTAAAAAATTCATCAACAAACTATTTTCACGTTTCATGAGCGCATGATGTATCCGTGTCCCGCTGCAAAATCCAATCTACTTCTGCACAAACAACGAACCAACCAAATACGCCCCGAATTTTCTTAAAGTATAACAAATCGCATATTCAATCGCTTTCGTCGTCGTTTATCACACATACAGGGACGACGAAGAAAAAGTGGAAAATATTTACGTGTTTACACATCTGATGTCAATATCGTTCTCAACCATAGCTGAATACTCACCCAAATCATTGAAATTCGCCGAATTGAAAAAAGGAAAGTCAATTGAGCTGCACGATGGAGAAAGATACATACACTCTCACACCGTGATTCCACTTGAAGCAGCGAAGCATCACATCGTCAGAAGAAGAAGGGAAAACATGCAAGTAAATTAACTGAAACGAATTCGAATGTGTTTTTCGGGTTGACTTTTCATTTTATTTCACTTTCTCTAAAATCTAAAGCCGTGGAAATATGTCGATTTTTCATGTTGAAAGTAAATTCTATACGTAATACATTTGAATAACAAACAAAATAAAAACGGGAAAACAATTACATATTTATTATTTTAATATTTATTAAAAAAAAGAGAGATAGAGAATTATTCGATACATTCAAATTTAGCGGAATAAATAAATGTTTCGGTCTCGATTGAATAGATGTAAAATGTTACCGTTGGACAAATCGTCGCGCTGCAATTTGCACATCCCTGTCAGTCTTTTGTTGATGTTTCTCACAATATACACCACCGATCGGTGTGTTATCATATGTTCGTTCGGTTTGGTTTGTTTGTTTTTTTTTTTGTTTGTTTTGCTTCTCTGAAATCGATTTAAAATGCTGTTCGTTTCATTTGTTTCGTTCGTTAAAAGTATTTTTTTTTGTTCACTATATTATTTCCATATCGAAAATTCCGCTGAACAGTGAGACTGCGTTGTTCGTCGAATAGGTGCGAATATTTTTATTTGATTTTTGTTTTTATTTTTACTGTTCACATCAATCTCAATAGCCGGCTTTCTTCAATGCTTTCAAGTCGACTTTACCGTAGTATTCTTCACTGTATTTGCGTGAAATTGGCAATGATTTTGGAATGAAACGAAAAAAAATGAGAGAAAGAATAAGAAAGAGAGAAAAAGAAAATGGAATTCAATAAAGTAATTGCTTTTTTTGTTGAAAATTGTTCAAAACTGTCTATCAAAGCGAAGTAAAAGATTCGAAGAGGAAAAGAATAGTTTGTATTGAAGTGAAACTAATTTTTAGTACCGTTACAAGTGTGCGTGTGTGCGTGCAATATCTGTGTGGCGGGAATATTTGAAATGTGTGAAAAAAGCAAATAACTATTGAATGCTGTGCCGAAATTGTGCTTGAATTGAACCTTAACACAATACACCAATCCAAAAAAACATCAGAAGACACGGCTGTGTATCCCGCATACGACAAGGAAATAATAAACAAACAAACAAAACTAAATTCGATGTGAGTTTCCCTTTCATAAATCCGAATACATCCTGCCGAAAGACCCTTCCACTAATTTATGCTGTGTTACGTATGAATACGTGAGAAACCCGAAGAACTACTCAATAATAAAGAGAGATAGATAGAGATAAAGAGAATAAAATTGAAAGTAACGCACATACGCGAACATCCGTTTAGTTATCTCTGGACCGAATGGAGAAAAAAAAGCGTGGCCACAATTTTGGGTTACACTTTTAATGGGTTAGTGGTTATCTTGTAAATACAAACAGATTTCTTAGGTGCTGTGATGTGTTTGAATGTGTATGTGTGTGTTTTCATATGTAACAAAAAATCGATTGGTTGCCGTCGATTTCAGACCTGAATTTTCCGTTGCTGTTGCAGTGAAAATACACAAAAAATCAATTTGATTCTTTTAATTTCGTTTTTTTTTTTTATTTTTCTAATAAAATAATATCATCATGTTTTTTTGTTCATTATAAAATGTATTTCAATTGTTCGGTTTTTCTGAGTATTTGAGTGTACGTACACAGGCTTATCGCTTTCTAATAACGTAGTTGGCGATTTTTCGTTTATTTGAATAACCATACGAAACTATTTGGAATTTGTAATGTCGCCGCTAACTTAGCGGCGGTAAGTGGATAACAAAAAAAAATGTGTCGTAGAATGTACAATATAATTGATTTGTTTTTCAAGTTGATTGATGCCGGCGATACTGGTTATTTGCTTGAAATGTTTTCTCTTTTGAATGCCATGTGCCATTTGAAAAATGGTGTTGTCTTTTTTGTTTTCCTATACATTAACAGTCTCGCACAAATATAAATCAATAAAAATAAGAAAATAAGATTGATTGCCGTTTTTGTCTGTTGGACGCAAGGCAAAGAAAAAGTTGTTCTTGTAATAATTCTTAAGAAGAAGAAAAAAATACGTATCCACTATAATAATAAAACGTCTCGTGTTCTCGCAATTTTGAATGATGCCAACAAGAAAAAAAGAAATGACGTGGAACATCGAAAACAATTCGTGTGTGAAAACATAACAAATGATTTTGTTTTGGATTGGCTCAAATGACGGGGACATTTTCGAAATGAAACAATAAGACAATCAATGTTTATTTTCATTTTTATTTGTTGGATATTGCAAAATAAATGTGATTCCACATTGGTTGTGTGTGTGTGTGTGTGTTTTGTTTTTGATAATGTTGTCTTCTATTCTTGTTCTTTCACATTGTCATAATTTATTTTTCATCCTTCTATTGATTGTTTTGTGGTCGGTTGATTGAATTTTTGTTTTGTTTTTTATTATTTTTTTCGTTTTATTTCTTTTTCTTTTTTTTGTCAAATAATATATTATAAATTATTTCGAGACACAGATTATAAGGTAAAGTTTTTTTTTTGTTTTGTTTAACTAAGTAGAAAAGGAAAGGCAAACAATTGTGTCCTTAATTTACGCTTCCTTTTCGGCGGCTGGACGTGGTTTATGTGGTTGTTTGTTTGATGTGGTTGCAATACCAGCTAACAATTCACTCTTACGAATGCTCTTCAAATCCAAGTCTCCGTAGTAGTCTTCGCTGTAATGGGTTCAAATCAAACGAAGGGTTTTTTTTTAAACAGAACAAAACAAAATTTTGTGTGTGAATAGATGTGTGTATGTGTATGGTGTTAACACAAGCAATTGGCGACAGATCATATTATATTTGTCATGTATACATTTGTCTTGATGTTATATGCTCATGAGTTTGATATGTTTTCTTTTTTTTCTATGTTCATGGTTGTTGTTGTTTTTTTTTCTATTCAAATTTGGAGTGTTTGAATGGAAAAAATTTTTTTTTTTAGTTTGCAAGTTTTTCTAAAATGTATTGGCAATTCGATTTACACAGTCTAAGAGTTAATAGTTGTTAATTGATTGTAATTGAATGTGATTTAATATTCAAGGGGGAGGGGGGGGGATAACGGTTAGAAATGTACAGTTTAAATAACAACAAGGTGCAACATTTGCAAGGCATTAGTTACATGAACGGTAATTTCAATGGAATAAGCGTATGTAATCTCTCTCTGTGTGTGGAGCAAATTTCAAAAAAAAAACGTCTAAACACTATTGGCAAAATGATGGAGCAAAACAAGCGACAGACAGACGAACAGATAGAAAGCAAAAATGATGCGAACGGGAAGGCGGAGGTGGAGAATAAACAAGCACAAAGAAGAAGCGAGATGGAATGAAAAACGATGTAAACAGAAAATATCACAACTTACCATCCTGGAACATCTTCTGGGTCTTCGCAGTTGCCAGTACCATCGCTGTCTCCAATTTTGAATACTGTTCCGATTGGGCAACCATATTCACGTGCAACACCTTCCAAGCAGATGTAATATTTTCGGCAATCTTCTGGATGAGCATGACGCGAGAATGAACCGGCATTTGAAACTTCACCTGGTGCTGGGCAAGCGAATCCGTTGGCAACTTCTACAACATTCGAAAATCAATTGAAAAGAGAATATCAGTATCGTCCGATGACATTTTACAGGGCAACACCACAATCTCATTTGGGAAGTCGGTGGCACCGAGGTTAAAAGAACAGCATTAGACGAAACAGAAAAACAATTACCTTCGTTTTTACATTCTGGAACTTGGTCAGCCCACATGCAAACACGAGCTTCACGATCATAAGCCAATCCAGGTGAACATTGATAACGGCTTGCTTCACCGTTCCAGCAGTTCCAGAAAACGTCGCATTTGTTTTCATCGGCGAAAATACCGTACAAACGAGAACAGTGTGTGGTTGAAATTGCTGGTTCTGTTGGTTTTTCAAGCAAAAGAAGAAGAAGAAAAAAAAACAAAACGAAAATGAAATCGTTCGAATTATGGAATCAGATTGGAACAACAGGGAAAAAAATGAACGAAAAATGTAACAAATGACAACGCAATTTGAACATTGAAAATAAAGCTTTACTAAGCTTACTCAATTCAACAAGTGTTCACTGAGCGCATTTTTTTCTGTTGCTCTCTTCATTTCTCCGCACACGATGTTTCGGCGTGAGCGCGATGTGTGTTTGTGTGTCTACATATAATTCTGTGTGTATTTCTTTTTTCTCTCTGTCTATATTCATCGCTCATTCCCGGCATTCGCTTTGTGCAATAAACGCAAACCGAATTATGTAATAAATTGAATTCAATTCCGTATATGTTTATCGTTAAAGCTAAGCCGAGTATGTAAATTGTAAATAGTGAATTGGTCGAACGCCAAATGGAAATGTCAGTGTCCACTGTCCATTGGCTAAACTGGTGAACGCTAAGCGTAATACCGAAAATAAAAATGATACTGGTTGTGCCTGAAGTGAACGAACGTGCCAAATGAAAATACTCAAACTGAACATGATACGCACACACGAAGAGTGATGCACTCACAAACGAAACGGCAACAGACAAGTAAATTAAGTGTTAAAGGAGAGAAAAGAAAAGAGATAGAGAACACAGCAACACAAACGTACAGCCAGAGAGAGAAATAGAAGTAAAACTGTACTCGCATAGAGAGAAGTGTAGAAGAAAAAAAAGAAGTAAAAAAATTTATTTATGCACATAGAAACACGGTAAAATGCAATCGATTTGATGGCAACACCGAAATAGAGATGAATTGAAATTCCGGCAATGCCTATCGCACCGTAAACGTAACTAACGTGGTGCGTGTATCGAATGCGATGTCAACAACGCTCAGTCTTTCTAGCTCTCTATGCGCTCTCTGACGAAAACATTATGTATGCAAGCGTCTCATTTAATTTGTTTGTTCAATTATTACGTTCGATGTGTAAGGCCGATAAAAATAAATAATTAATTACCAAGTTGGGTACGATCGCCGCAGTCAACGTTGTGCAAATAATCACAGTTTTCTGTCAAGAATTTCATATCCGATGCATCGAAAGCAAGACCGTTTCCGCATGTTTTCAATTCAGCTACATTATTATCACATTTCCAATATTTATCACACGATGTTTCATGTGGGTAGAAGCCAAAGTCATCTGGGCATTTGAAGCTTTCTTGGGCCACAGCTGTAAATGAAAAGAGAAGAACATGGTTAAATTGCCATTATCTAGTGTGCGAAATGGATTAATTATTTTCGTTATTTTAACATTTGCAATCGTTAATTTAGTTTTCAAAATATGGAGCACCAATACATGTTGCACAATCGTCGATCGATCGTTGGTGTTTATGATGATGATGATGAAATGCTCGAGTCATAAATTATTTATGGGTGACATCAGTGCAAAATTCCAATAAAGTGGGGTGTGTGTATGCATTTTTCGTGACTTCTTTTCTAACCAGCCACATTGCCATGTACTACGTCAACCGCTTAAAATTTAAATAATACGATGTCGTAATCAATTTTCAGCTGTCTGCTGCTCATACGTCGTAGTCATCATTGCAGTTATAGTGAAAAGTGCCATTTTCAAGTGATGACTGTGTGCGTTTTTTTCTTGTTCCCGTTTATGGTCATTGGTCATGCACCACAGTGAATTTACTGGCTCATATGAAAAACTGAATTCATTAACATTTTTCGCTGTCCGTTTCTCCACTCGTTTAACGGACAAATAAACACTTTTGGACAGCGTTTAAAAATAAATATAAGTGAAAAATTGCATTTGCCCTCAATGTGTTAAACATGACAGAGCCAGTGCATGCATTTTAATATTGAATACGAGTCGATGCTACTATAGTTTTTCCTCAACATTCTGTGGACGATTCCCTCTCCCTCTCTGCTTCATTTTTCATTCGTCTATTCAAATCCATTGAGCGAAACAGATTTTTGCTAAGCAAATGTCAGAATGTATTCACACGCATACGCCTTATAATTCTTTGCCTTCTTTTCTTCCTTTTTAAATGTGTCGAAAATATTTTGATTGATGCGATTTATTTGAATTCATGACAACGTTCAGGCTGTCTGCGAAAAAAATTCGAGAGTGTCCCGAGATGAGTCGCGATGAAAGCATTAGAATTCCCTATTTCATGCTATTTCAATTTCAAGTTTGAAAACAGAGCGTGTTTTTTCTACTTCTTTTTTTGCTTCCTCTCTTTATTTCTTCTCACCCAAAGACCTGTGGACATTGTGTGTTTGTTTGTGCGGCATGGCTCATTGAATCCATAAAATGTGTGTATTAAGATGATGGCTTGGCACAAAATTTACTTATCGCTTTTGACTACAGTGAATAGAACACCGAATTATATTCAATAAATATAATGGAAGTTTACATTAAGTGAAAGGAATTTTTCGCCATCATTTTTTGTTCGTTCCATCGAACTTTCTTCACTGTTCCATACCCATATAGAATTAGTTTTACTTTCATTCTTGGGTGTTGCGCTCGGCCGCAACACCAACAACGGTAAATACACTTTTGACTTTGTGGCATTTTACTTGGGTGGTAGCCTAGGGGCATTTCTCACGCAAAAAATTGAAACGAATATGCAAGAATTTAACATATTTCTTCTTTCCTATTGAAATGGTATAAAAATGTATGAAATTGTCTGGAATTGTCAAATTTAATGTGAATCAAATTACTACATTCCAGTCAATTCTAAAACATTTTGGTGAATTCACTGCAATTTCATAAATTCGGTTCTGTTAGCAAGTACAAATCTTAAGTACGTACCTAAGCTTAAGTATAAAGATTGTCATCCTTAAGTACGTACTTAACATACTTAACGTACTTACGTATCAAGCTTAAGTACGTACTTAAGGTTAAGTATGCTAAGTATTACGTACTTAAGCTTCATACTGCGAACGTATTTCACACATTCAGTGTAAATGTGTATCTATTTACCCGAATTGATAGAAATGGAAGAAATTGTTCAATATTTATTGGAATGGTTCTATTTTTTAAGTGAGAAATGCCCCTAGGTGGTAGCATTTATTGGAAAATGTCGATCGAATCGAATGAAATTGAATCGCAGCCGAAAAGTGTGTTTGTGTTCCACTCTCTGTTGGCGTTATTTGGCTGTTTTCCGTTCACAAGAATGCAAGAACACACACACACAAGCATAAAAGCAAAATATTTTCTTTTGTGTGGCGAAAAATCAATTGTGTTGGGAAAATTTTGATGTTACACTAGACTGAGCATCGACCGAAAGTTTTTGACATGCAATTAATAACACAAAGCACAGAGATCATGTACCGATATTCTTGGTTATTGGTCATTCGTTATTATTGTTGTTGTTGTTGGATGGCTTTTTATTACTCAGTTCATTCTCCATCGTCCCTGCTCGCCGTGGACACCATTTTCAACTTGATTCGATTCAGTATTTGTGTATTTAAAAGAAAAACCGAAATGCTTTCTTCTTAGTCATGAATGGTCCGGCGTAATTTTGGTTTAGCATTGGACACGTGTCAAACGAATAATTATTCGTAATTAGAAAACGACAGGAAAAATGTGAAACTTTCTATCGACAAATCAATGGACCATAAATGTCTTGAGTGATAAATTATTGATTGGAAATTCGAAATAAGATTAGTTTTGAATGAGCATCTGCTGTTGCTGCTGTCACTGTTGTTGTGTATTCAATGCACAGTTTGGTGTAGCGCACTTGAGACTTTTTTGATGCTCAAATAAATCGGTTGATATCTTGTTTTTTGTGGATTTTTCCCGATGCTTTTCATGATCTCAACACAGAAACATACACAATTCATTTTTGAATTCAACCAATGTGTTTCAATCGATATTGTACTTGCGAAGTGTGAATCCAGTGGAACGAACGAACGAACGAAACGAGCGCGTCTCACCGCCAAAATGAAATTTTCATAAAACCATTTTCAATTCTAATTATCACCTGCTGCGAAAGTTATGAACAAAATGGCAAATTTCGGTGTACAAAACCAATAAAATATTAATAAATGCGATGCAAAGAAGTGAAAACTCTGCTCGAAATTCGTTGTCGAGTTTCTCCGGAAAATGTGGAAATTGAAAGCAAATAAAATATGAATAATGAAATGAAAAGCTTCGCTACCGTTCATTTGAACTGCAACGACCGTGAGTTCGACGTGGCTCTCTGTATGTGTGACATACACACAAACATACACACGGCCACAGTACAAATCGATGAAAAGTACAACAAGAGAGGCAGATTGAATGCGAGAGCGCCAGGCGACAATATGACGATGCGACGATAAAAACGCAAATTTTCGTCACGACCAAAACGCGCTCAAAATGCCATCACACCAAATACATATTCAATAACATGGCAATAGCAAAGAGACTGAAAGACACACATGTTATGAGACAGACAGAGAGACCTGGCAGATGGAGACAGAGCGAGTGCAAAAAAGCGGTAATAATTAAAATGTGAATGCATTCATAGTGTACGAGTTTTGGTTGGCGCACCAGAGAGGATATTTATGTTTTCATGTTCCATTTGCGGTGAAATAAATTTTGCGAGCGCCATTGCAAAAAATGAATTCATTTTGCAATACATAATTAAATATAATGACATTTTCAGATATGTTCACACATTTCTTTCAGCAAAGGTGCATGATTTGAATTTGAACCGGGCGTGAAATCGACGTGTGTGTGTGTGTGTGTGTGTGTGTGCTGTGTGGCACGCGTTTGTTTGTTTTTTCTACATAAATTTTGAGCAGCTTACGCGAGGATTCAAAAGTTTCAGTCACACAGAAAACACACATGCAGGATGCCAAAACACTTAATTGAATACGGTGTGTGTGTGTGTGTACACTGGCAATGTGTCTCACTCACGCTCATTCTCATTCTCACTGTCACTATTGATGTCTCTCAGCGTGTTTGTATGCTGCTGGTGTTGTTTTTTTTCTAACGTGCCTTGATTTTCGTAGTTTTCCTTTGGTTCATCGAAACACTGATAATAGCACTATGCCTGCATAAATTGTCGACTCGCAGCTTCTGTTATCGCAATCGCATTTTCGGCTAGAGAATACGTGTTAGCATGTGCAAAGGGAATATTACTTGATAAATGTAAACATGGTTCGCTGAGTGAATGCAAACACAAAAACGACAGGCAACGACGCCGTGAACGCGCCAACTTTTCACTGGTTGGCTGTCGAACAAGTGTAATCACAATGGAATATGGCAGCATGAACGGGGCGGGCAGGGCAATATGCATGAACGGAAGGAGCGGCCGCAGCGCGACTCTGTGTGAAAATCGCGTGAAAACAGCATGCAACACTTCGAACGAATAAATTTTGATTGGAACTTTAGAAGCGGCATTATGTCACTTGCCATTATCATTATTATTCATTTCGTTAAATTTTTTGCCAATAATGCGGTGCGAAAGAGAGGAAAAGAATGATGCAGCGTAGAGGTGACATGCCAGCAAGACACCTTCAAACTATATCAGCCTCATCTCATTATCATCGTCACCATGCCAATAGTTGCCACACATGGCAGCCGTTGGATCACCGTAACGTTGTGTATCGTGTGAGCGCACCCTTGGGCATCACTCTTACACTTCACACCGAATTCTCTGAACACATAATTTCATTCCTATGTTATTAATACAAGAATTTCCCCGCAAGCGATTAGCATTCGAATTACAACTTTGGATATAGATTTCTTTTTGATTGTCTTCTTCGAAACTTGCACGCTGCTTTTTGAAAGTGTTGCACGCTCATTTCCGATTTGATGGAATAAAGCGAAGCGATAGTAGCCCCACCAACTTTTGTATCGAATAGAAATAATGCAAAATACACCTTTTACAGTGCTGAACGAAAGAAAAAAATTGAAACATTTTATGTGCGGCAAAGCGGCTCTTCAACTCTTTTTTTTTCATTTTGTTTTGGTGTTGAAGTTCCGCACGCTGTCGCACACAAAATAAATAGAATGTAAAACAAGACCGCTGAGCTTCGCTTCGCTCCGCTCTGCGTTCTTGAGTTTTTAGTTACCAAATCTATTTTGTTGTTTCACAACAAACTGTTTTTTGGCGCACTACATGAAATGTATTTCATCAAAGTAACTTTGAAGTAATATATTTATTTGCAAAATGAATTACAAGATCTTGGTTTAATTTCTTTTTTGAAATACAGTGCCTTTGG